CTAAGAAATCAGAAACTTTGAACAAGTCATTGAATGCAGCAGGTCCTGTAAAACCTGTTGAACTTCCCATCATCCCTCAGTTTCCTCACTCCTCGCCGACAGTGATGGTTGGTCGTCTCACAGCCGGGCCGATTTTCTCCACAACCTGACTGGAAAGAGGCTGTGGTGATGTGGGCGGGGCCAGGGGAGTGGGAGTGGCCTGGGATCCTGGTAGGCAATAACACAGGGTAGTTTGGAGAGCTGTCATATCGTCCATCTTTGTCAAAACTCACAGCGAGAGGACGAAGCGGTGTCCACAAGCACTCTGCGCTGCCCCTCAGCAGGCTTCAGTTATTGGGGCTTACAGAGGCGGGTCAGACAGGACGGAGTGATCAATAAGGATGTTTCTGAAGAGTGAATCATGTAACGTCTGAGAATACAGAGAGAAGGGGCAGAACAGATCCACTTTAATCTCAGTCTGCTCACTGAGGGGACATTATTTTTCATTTAGTCGACTCTAATCCTTAAAGCCAGCAGAGTCTAAACATAACAAATGACTGAATAACGTCTCTATATATTCATATTTCTTTCTCCTTCATGATTAAAATAAAACAAAGTGAAAATAATTACATTTTAACTCCTGCTAACTCTCCTGTGTTTGATCACAGCGATCTGGATTATTTCTTATCAATGAAAGGTCAACGCGGCTCCTCACTGAGGACGCTAATTTAATGCATAACTTCAGTCTGAATAAAGAGCGCTCGCTACGTGATTAGGTAGCTGTTACTTGATCAGTTGGCTGACATTTAAAAACACGTAAAATGAAAAATAACCCTAATTAATCACCGAAACACGTCTGCAGGCGGCGGCGCTCCTGGTTGTAATCAGACTGCTGCAGTGGATCTCATCTGAGAGCGCCCACTGCTCCTGAACGCCTCACAGCCTTCCCTACAGCGAGGTGGAACGACACTGAAGTACACGTATGTTTAAACAGATGGAGCAGTACACAGAGTACTAATACTCTTCAGTGCAAGTACACAGAGTACTACTACGGTGAACAGGCAGATGACAGGAACTGGTATTGAGATGAGGTTCTAACTGGCAACCACCAGGAAACAGGGGTTGCCATCAGTTCTCCATTTTATTCATCCAAACAATGATCTCAGTGCTCTTGCTATGGTGATTGTCACGGCTCTAAACAAAGAGCAAATCTTTACCCTCCGGACAATAAACCCAGTCTATAAAGCATGTTAAAGTATCATTAATACAACAAAGACACTTGCCAACCACATACAAACACTCATCGAGGTTATAACAAAGAGGAGGTTCTGTCTGTTTAAGGATAGATCCCCGAAGGTTCTGTCCATACAGAGTGAAGACAGCAGTCTGTATGTGTGGGACGATGGAAGAGGGTTGAACTTCAGAGTTGACCTTTTTACTTGAAGTACACTTTGAACTTTAAGCTCACTTTTCAAAACTTAGACGAGAGTCAAACGTTAATGTTTACAGAGGAAAGGCAGTTTTATTTAGTCGTTACTGCGCACAGTGAACCAAAGTCCAACGATGCTTGTCCAAACTGTACATGAAGAAACAGAACGTCAATGAGGAGGAGCCAAAACCAGCAAGAGAACACCTCAGTCCTTTATTCCCTGCAGTCAGACTGTCCTCCGTCAGCATCAGATGCTGCATTCAGTCCCGGTCTGGACCTGCTGTTCACTGGGAGCTCCCAGTCCAACACAGTCAGCTGATAGATCCACTACAGCTGCTGGACTGGGGGGAAGTAACACACAGCGCTGTTAGCTACAGCGACAGGTCCCTCCCTGACTGCCTGCTCTTACCGTAAAGGAAGCACCTCTCTGAACTGATTTTGAAGTTAAAAATAAGACAAAAGAAGTGTCTCAGGAGGTAGAGCAGGTTGTCCTCTAATCAGAAGGTTGTTGGTTCTATCCCCGGCTCCTCCTGCTACATGTTGAAGTGTCTTTGAGCAAGATACTGAACCCTATGATAACTATATACTGTATAACTACTACTATAGTCCATTTACCATTAACTAATAGAAATGAAGTAAATGAGACTTTCTGTTGAGAGCGCCCGGTGCAGACAGCTGCAGGAGATCAGACTCAGTTTAGCTTCAATAAGCTGATCCAACTTCATGCTGAATGAATGAGTGAGAGTTCACTACATCACCATGGCGATGCTTCCTCCTCGGACAGGAAGGTGTTTGCAGGGTGACAGGTGCTGCGATGGACCGCAGGCCGGCGACTCCTTCAAGGACACTCTGACAGGAAGTGTGAGATTTGATGGTTGTTGGTATCAAACACGCGGCCTGTCACTGTGGACCTGCTCCTGTAATTACTGGGGCCGCTCTGCTCTCCGGCGGCAGCGACTGTTCACTGAGGGGTTCATTATATCCCGTCTGATAGCTGAGTGAAATCCAATAACAGCACAATCCAATTGCTAAGTAATGTGTTAACAAATCTGCACTCGGAGCATTTTCCTACAGAATCAAAGAAGAAATGTTTTCTCCGAGGTTTGACAGAAACAAATATGTGTCATTTATCAAATGTGTTTTGGCTCAGCGAGTGTCCTTGAGCGCTGAACCTGCTGTGGGGGGGCCATCAGCCTAAAAAATATAAATGGAAGAATGGAGGGCTGTCTTGTTTTTGTAACGTTACAGAGGCTCATTCTTCATTTCCTCGAAGGTCGTCTTTACATCTCTCCGCCCAATGAAAGCGCCCAGCGGACGGGAAGACACAGAGGAGGCGACACGGATTCACACGTCATGATAGGACTCATCGCTGCACGTGGACATATTTCACTGCACACATCAGAAAGCTGCTCCCTGTTGCACCAACGCTTCCATGCTGGGGGGCGTTGGGTACGTGTCTCAGCTTTGTAGTTATTACCAATGTATGTAATTCCCACACTGACCTCAGGATGCGGAGATAGTCATTATACATTTATATCATTACAGTGTCGTTAGCGGAGACTCGTGGGGACCCACAGGACCTGCTTTCATTACGAGGTCTTGAGGTCAGAGGTCAATGGATCCCTTTGAAAATAACAATGCCAGTTTTAACGTCACCAAAATTTGAATGAGTACTTATATATGTACATTATAGAAGTAATAATAACTATCTGTATATGTGTATTGTATATTTATCTTAACAAAGAGACTAAAAGAAAATATCAGTTTTATCTTTGTTGTTTTATTTCATTTATTTAGTCTCATAGTTGAAGGAAGTGCACAGAATAAGAGGAATCTTTCTCTCTATTCGTACAAACGAGTGTTTAAATCACAAAAATAATAAATATGTAAATATGCTGAATACTTATGAAACCATGAAAGGATTGCAATACAAATATTTATTATATTATTATATTAATGATAAGTAAAAGACTATTTGAAGACATTTAGACTGACGGTGACCTCTCCTTCAACCTCTCCCTCCCAGCGGCTGCGTTCCTCCTGAGGGCGGCTGATGAAGGGAGACACCGCTGCTACGGTTAGTTCATCCATCAATCAGTTGTTAACTGACTGATTAATCACCAACCAACTATTTTGACAATCAATTCATTGTTTTGAGTCATTTTTAAGAGAAACAATGTTTTCTGATTTCTTCAGTCCTCTTCAGGACATTTGAGGACGTCACTGATTCATTTTTAAATCAGTTAGTTTATGTGGACAAAAGCATGTGTCACATTTTGTCTTACTGGATAAAACAATTAGAGCATATATACATTTTAAATTTAATTGTGTTTTATTTGTAGAGCTCCAATTCATAACAGAAGTTATCTCAGGACACTTTTCAAATAGAGCAGGTCTAGACCCAACTCCTTATAAGTCTGCTGTCGTCAAACTGTCCTGTCTGTCTCAGGTTGTGTTCACTGGGAATATATTCTCTCCATAAAATATGATCACCCAAATCACTGATAAGGTTTGTGTGTTTGTACACAAAGCTAGCCATGCTGTTAGCTAGCTAGCTAACTAATGAATCTTCGCTCTGTGTCACTGACAGTTGCAGAATGATTGACGGGTGAGTATCAGGATATTATTGGTTGGAATCAGTTAGTTCATGCTGACGTAAGCACGCGTCACAATAATTGGATTCTGATATAAAAACAGTTTGCGGACATTGTTCAATAAATATTTTACAGTAGACGTTGTTGTCGGTCTCTCTGTTAGCTGGTCTGTAAAACACTGAAGACTCCTGTGGAAATGTTTTCATGTAATTGTTCATTAATAACCATTTTGATCTCATGTTGTTTTCCAACCACTTCCACCTTGTTGGCGTTCTGTCTCCTCTCACCTGTTACTGTGTTGTTTCTCTACCTTCGTATTAATATATATTTTATATATATTATATGTATCACATATAGTCTGCACTGAGAGTCTTTAGGAGGAGCTGCTCTCTGTGCGGCTGCGTTCCAACACTGTGGGGACGCTCCCTTCCTTCAGCTCCTCCTCCGTTCTGTCACATCTGTCGTCTCACATGAAATAGAATCTGAAATCAATAATCAATAAATCTTCAAGGTTCAAGGTTGTTTGTGGTTGTACAACTCAAGGATGCACAATGTATGTGTATAATATATTATATAAATATATATTTAATAATATATTATACATTTATTTTATATTTATTAAATATATATTTAATAAAATAAATTAATATGAAACAGCTTTTTGTCTCAACTCTCCTGTTTGTCCCAATACTAATGATAATAACAAAAACAATCATAATCCTAACGATAACTATAACAATAATAATAATAATTAATAATAATAATAATAACAACAGTTGTTTTGCTGTATAGTCCTAAACCCAGAAATGAATGAATGAATTTAATCAAAAAATAATAATAAATCAATTAAGTGTTTTATTATTATTTTTATTATCAGTATAAAATGTGTCCATAACTGCTGTTTACATTAGTTTCATTTTTAACACGTTATTTATTTACTATTAACATTTATAAACTGAGTTGTCATTTTAACTTAAAGGATCTGTTTTTATCACATTGGCAGGAATTGTCTTCCATAGAGTTCAATATGTGAGTCAGAAACCTTCAACCTCCTGAACCAGTTCTAACAAATAAAAGTCATTAGTGTGTGTGTGTGTGTGTGTGTGTGTGTGTGTGTGTGTGTGTGTGTGTGTGTGTGTGTGTGTGTGTGTGTGTGTGTGTGTGTGTGTGTGTGTGTGTGTGTGTGTGTGTGTGTGTGTAGGGGGGGCACTCATTCATATTAACAGCAGTGGTCTATAAAGCTCAGTGTGGTTGTGCGCATTGTTCTGGCAGCGGGAACCTCACACTCATAATTACACGGACGCGCGTGGGTGGAGTGTGCGCGGGTGCGTGTGCGCACGACGAGAGAGAGAGAGAGAGAGAGAGAGAGAGAGAGAGAGAGAGAGAGAGAGAGACTCCACTTTCTGCTCCTTCCTGCCGCGCAGCAGCATCTGGTTCAGACGCCGTGGATCCGGACTACAGGGGGGGCGGGATGAGGAGTTGGATCGGCTCTCAGTACAGTTGTGTTTAATACCGCCTTCCTCCTCCTCCTCCACTTTCTCCTCTTCCTCCTCATCGCACCTTGAGTCCAGGCTGGGGGAGCACATTGATTATTGATCTGATTGGATATTGGTATGACATCAGCGCGGAACGTGGGCTGTGTTCTCCAGAGGCGGAATACCGGGAGAGCCTGCCGGAGTTAACGGCCCGATGCTGGCTCTCTTTCTCTCTTTCTCTCTCTCTTTCTCTCTTTCTTTCTCCTCCTCTCTCCTCTCGGAATGGGGGCTCGAGCAACAAGCGACCGCGGCTGCGTGCGGCAGCAGCGGCAGCGGCAGCGGCAGCAGCGGCTCTGCGCACACCGGAGCGGGATAACGCGCTCGTGAGTCAGTCGGTGTGGATGTTTGTAACGGCAGCACCTAACCCGGGATTACAGTAGACCTCCTTCCTCTTCCTCTGCCTGCTGGATCCGGAGAACTCTCCTGAAAAAGAAGAAAAAGAAAAAGTGCTTTTGCGCCTCGCAGCGGTCCTCCGGTTCTCCTCCGGTTGTCCGGTCCTCCGGTCCTGGTCTGTGGCGGAGCCGCTCTCTGGTGGAACTGGTCTGATCATGGGCAGACACTCGGGTCACCTGCCCGAGCTCAAACCGGGTCTTACATTCCGGGTGTTGTGGATCCTTCAGGCGTTCCTGGACCTGGCCGGCTCTCAGGAGATTTACGCGCCGCACTCGATCCGGGTGGAGGGCGACGTGACGCTGGGGGGGCTGTTCCCCGTCCACGCCAGGGGGGTCCCGGGGATGCCGTGCGGGGACATCAAGAAGGAGAACGGCATCCACCGGCTGGAGGCGATGATGTACGCGCTGGACCAGATCAACGGGGACGAGGAGCTGTTGCCCAACGTCACCCTGGGCGCGCGGATCCTGGACACCTGCTCCCGGGACACGTACGCGCTCGAGCAGTCGCTGACGTTCGTGCAGGCTCTGATCCAGAAGGACACGTCGGACGTCCGGTGCACCAACGGGGAGCCGCCGGTGTTCGTGAAGCCCGAGAAAGTTGTGGGAGTGATCGGAGCGTCGGCGAGCTCCGTGTCCATCATGGTGGCCAACATCCTGCGCCTCTTCCAGGTATGCCCCCCCCCTTTAAGGAAATCCCGCTCAGAGTCGTGACTCCATCAGTCTTCAGTTTGTTTGAGTTCTGGAGAAAATCCTCAGGTTCGATTCATGTTGAGACTGATCAGTCTTAAAGCTCCCCTCAATACATTATCAATACGTTATCAATACGTTATCAATACGTTATCAATACATTATCAATACGTTATCAATACATTATATTATTATACAGCTAACAGCTCATATGCAGATTTAAAATGTGTTCACAGAATCTGAAGAAAGTCACTTCAGTGAATCTTCTTTATACAAATGTTACCAGTTAAGTTGAATCTACATTAAATTGTTAATAATAAATAAATAAATAAAAACGATTTAAAATAAATCAATCATCAAAATGGTTGTAAATGAATTTTGGGGCTTCAGTTTCTGTGATTAAATAAAGTCGACTTAAAGAAAATGAGTCAGTGGAACAAACTGAGTGTGTTGGAGAAACATCTGAGTTCACTATTTGAATTATTGGTGATTTAATTAATGGTCTGTTCTGACTGGAGGAGGAGCTTTAAGGAGGTTGGTAAGGACGTCAGGATCAGCAGGTGCATTAGAGCGGAGGTCAGTTAGTGGACTGTATGCGTTGCTTTGGAATATTTGATCACAGTGTTTGTGAGATGGAACAACAGGGAAGGAAACAGTGGCTGCTTTCACTGAGTGTAGTTTATAGTTTGCTCTCCTCAGATCGGGGCTCTGATGGTCGATGTGGTGACCGTTACAGACTAGATCTCTCAGACCTGGACACAGCTGGTTCAGCTCCTGTCTCTCCTGTGAGAGAGTTCAGACCAGTTTGAGGTTCGTTTGGTGTTTCAGGGTCTAAAAGTGACGTTACAGGATGATTCAGAGGCTCTTCTGTGCTGCTTGGATTCTGGATTCCTGAGATCTGAGTTGCGTTTGTTCCTATTTATTAACTGACCGGTTTAAATGTTTGGATTTAGTTCAAAGTGAAGTTCAAGTTAATACTCTTGTTTCCTTACATCCGTTAAAATCAAGAAGGTCTCGTGACCTCCTGTGGAGCTTTGGGGACCATAGTGGAGGGTTGGGAACCACAGCTCTAAGCCTGGTCGTGGTTTTACAGGGAAAATATGTTCTCGGTCCACACACACACACACACACACACACACACACACACACACACACACACACACACACAGAGGAGATTTATAATAAATATAAAATAAATACATTGAAAACTGAAAAGACTTCTGCATAAAGAGAGAGAGGGAGGGAGGGAGATGGGAGAGAGGGAGGGGTGGTGCTGAAAGAACAGCTCCTCTGCTGGTCCTTGAACACATCATCCTCGTTCAGCTGAAACCTTCACAGCTCTTAATGTGTCTTAATTAGATGGTTTTAATTGAAGACTCCTCGTGTTATCTGTTATCTGTTGTTCTTATTCTGTTAAAGGTCTTCAGCACCACAACATGCAGCCTTCAACACTAACTTAAATCTTATCTGAGTGAGAAAACCACCGGTACAGACACTTTATTTCACCTTCATTTGGTCCAATTTTACACTATTCATTACAAAAATGCTGTTTTTTGTAGTAACTCTATCTACACGTACCCCGGGTCTATTTAATATGAAAGGTTGCGACTCAGAGTATTGAAATACTACAGTAGTTATTGTGGCTCCATCTTTACTGTCCACCTGTTAGCTCTGCTGAAGCTAACACCGAGCTAACATCTCCACCTGTGTGCTGGTAATGCTTCAGTCTTAAAAAGAGATGAAACTGAAGCAGTTACCGGCCGGTATCGACAATGAAACCACAGTTACTAATCAGAAGGTTGGTGGTTTGATCCCCAGCTCCTCCGGCTGCATGTCAGAGTGCCCTTGAGCAAAATACTCAGATTAAAATTCAGACAAATGTTTTTGACAGTGAATTTGAATGAGGACATTAATTTAAGCACACACATTCAAAGTGCTGCAATGACAGAAACACATTCAGGAGATTTTAGTCAAACAGTTGAAAACAAAGTGTGAAGATAAAATGTAGGACACATGGTTGCTAAAAGCAAAGTTAATTAATTGAATTAATTAAAATAAAACCATGAATCATTCATCTCTCCCATCAATTACCACTGCAGCACATCAACAAACAGTAAATAAGAGCCTGTGTGTGAATGTGTGAACGGGTGAATGTAAAGAGCTGTATAAGTTCAGTCTGTTTACACATGTGACTGCAGTCCTGTGACAGCTCACATGGAATGAAGGTTTCAAGAACCAGAACTAAAAGGGTTCCTCCTGGTCCACACTTCTGTTCCCAGTAGTTCCTGTTTGGAGCCACGATTGAGTGTTTTTGATCCATTCATTCGACCTCCACTTACTATCTTTAGGACTTGACCTCTGCTTACTATCTCAAATGAATCAAGATATTAGGTGTGAAATGTTTCTCATCTGCAGAGAAAGAAGTTCCAGTGTAGAACCTAATGTGAAGAACAACTCTGATTATTCCAGAAGAGATCTTTTCCTGTAGTGAACCAATCCTGGAGAGCCATATAATAACGTATAATCTGGGTGTGTTTGACCACTGCTGCTGTATTTTTGGTGTCATGAGGATATTTAAACACTATTACAGCAAATGTGAAACTTATTTTAAATAACATTTCAGTGATCTCGTAGCTAAATGCTGCAGTATTTTGATAATATTTTATATTTCTGTTGACCTCCCACATTGCAGAATTAGTGTGGCCCAGATACAAGCAGGGCTTCCGGCTCTATTCTGGTGCTGTGCTGGACCACAATACCAGATCTGGATCTCCAGACCAGTTCTGCTCTATGTGTTAAAGTCTTGTGTTAATGTTGTTGTCCTGTTTGTTTCAGCTTTATCTTCCTTCAAGTGACCATCAGTTGATTCACGGAGGATATATTGATCATGCTGTCCTCCCTTTAAGTGCTTAAGATATATTTTCCTTTTATTCTGAGCTGTAGCTTAGTAACTTTCAAAGCTTTTCAGAGCTTTGGCTCTCAGTGGCTGAAAGCTGATTTTGAAAAGAGTTTAATGGCCGTCGAGCTCGGCAGAGTCTGAAAAGCAGCTTCTCACCCAGAGAGAGAGCTGGAGGATGCTGGCCCTTGTGCGACCTCGAGTCGCGTGAAAATAAATGAAAATACATTTTAATATCAGGGTTTATTGATAAATGACTCTGAAGTGTTGTTCACAATAAAAGCCCCTCTGGAAAACAAATATTTCTGTTTGAATTCGTCCTTACAGAGCAGCTTTCTGAAGGTAAATGGGTCAGCTGTTGAGGAGGACGCGAGGGAGGTGGGAGGGAGGCGGGATCCACCAGTAGGCTGAAGCTGGTGGAAATGGGGTTGTAATTATTTCCCTGGTGATAGAAAAGTCATCTGTTCCACAGCTGTTTTCACTTCATTACCCCCTGATGTTCCTAAGTGGCCTGGTTGGCACCACAAACACATTAAGGCTTCACCCTGTGGACCCCCCCCAGTGGATCCTGGGTCAGGTCAGAGCCAGAAAAAGATTTTTACAGGAGGGCAGCGGGGCGGCAGTAAACAGGGGCGATCTGTTTCCCTCCTTGTTATCAGAGATGTGGCATATTTTCAAAATATTACAGTGAATAAAATCATCAGGATATTCATCAAACTCTGGAAATACAGTAACAATCAATCAATCAATCAATCTTCATTCATAAAGCAACTTTCAGACAAATAAAATGCAGTTCTACAAGCGTTTTACAAGCAACTGATGAAACAGATTTTAGAGCCAAAATAACAAAAAAGTTAAGATAAGACGACAATAAAAGACGAATAAAGATAATAAACAAAATAAAAAATAAAATATTAGATGTTAGTTTATATATTATATATATTAGATTAGTGATTATAGTAAAACTGTAAAATATCTTGGGGGACTTTGGGGGACTTTGGGGGACCAGCTCCAAGAGGAAAGCCAGCTGGGAATCAAACCCGGAACATGAACCCTGAAATGTTAGTTTGTGAGTTTTCTGTTAGAAATGTACAGTTTGGGTCTCCGGCACTTAGCAACTGACAGATGTTAACTTGCATATGTTGGACAATTAGCATAATCTGCATATTTAGCATTAATTAGCATAATCAGCTACAATTACAATGATTCAGCAGCTGCTTGGCTGATTTGGACAATATAGGAATGATTCTGGTGGTTCTGAGGATGCTGGATCCGTTTCTGACTGAAATACAAAATGGCCGTTTAAAGCCAGAAGAGGTCACATTCCACCTCATAACTTATGGAACGGAAATAACTTATAATGTTTGGATTATTGTGTTCATAAATATCAACAAACATTTCTATTATTATAACAGTATTACGTTATTGGAGGTAACGAATGATAAAACATTTACAGCTGAAACAAACCGACTGAAAGAAAATGGAACCATTTTAATAATCCATTTATTATTGTTATTTATTGTTTCAGCTAAACTGTGAAACATTTTCTGATTCCAGCTGTTGTTCTTTGTCATTTATGTTACACATGTTCGACTTTTGACCAAAACAACGATTTAATATCCTCTGACATTTTATAGACTAAACAATTAATGATTAATCAATAATGAGGATAGCAGCCGGTGTACCTGCTCACCTGAATTCTCATTACCTGTCTCTCTCTCTCTCTCTCTCTCTCTCTCTCTCTCTCTCTCTCTCTCTAGGTGTGCTTCATTAGCCGCCTCACTCAGAACAGGTGCACACGGGGTCATTAAATCCACCCGCTGCATTACGGAGCGCACTCCCGTCGTTAGCCGTACGTTGTAGCGAGCAGGAGAGCAAAATGGAAATGTGTGATGAAAACAGAACAGTTTTTATGAGCGGTGCTGTTGTTGTCTTTAATTGTACCGGCCTTCCATATGTGCCAGATGATTAGAGCGGTAGGAGGGTTTGGTTGGATTCGTTTGGTGGTGCTAATGAGAGGTAATGGGCGGGATGTAGGCTCCAGCCCATTAGATACATACACTCCACCATATGTGACAATATTAAT